TTTTGATGCAAAAACGCATGATCGCACCGGCTCGCCTGGTGCGTTCCAGCCTTTGTTTTTCTTTCATCAACCGCTGGTTTTGCATTCCTATGAATTTTTTGCGACCAGCACAAGGTCGAAGTGGAAAATGAGCATTTGAAATAAATCGCTGTTGGTATCAGATCCTTCTGCTGTTTCAGTTTTCAGTTGCAACGTCATCCTGCTTCACTGTGTGGGCTCGACGAAAGGGTGATTTCGCTAAGAGGTTCGGATGTGCATCGGTACGAATCCTTGTTCTAAAAGAGCCTGCCGGATAGCGTTGCGTTCCAGTGGATGGAAAGCCTTCTTGAACATAAAGGAGTGTTTTTTCTGCGCCTTTCTACCACCCGAAAAACGACATCATAATAATGTAAAAGCTGATTCCGATTTGCTTCTTCCGGAAGATACTCCCGGATTCATTGACACCATCAACGCTCAGTTGTCTTCCTTCTGCCATGCATGTATGTGTTTTATAACCTGTGCATGTTCTCAGCCTGTTATTGAAACTTGAACAACCAGTTCTTTCACAAATTAATTAAACACTGCTATTTTACATTAAATCATGTTCGCATTTATTTTAAATTGATTTTAAGTTTGAATTAGAATTATTTGAGCCAAAATCGCTAAGAATTAATTATTGCCAATTAATTATGTAAATCTCCACTCCGCTAATAATGCAAAAAATCTTTAAATTGTGCGAAAAGTAACATGAATTTTGCCAAATACTGTTTTACCCCCTCCCCCCTTCTCCTTCCCTCTCCCCCACCCCCGCCCCACAACAGGCTAGAGAGACTGGGTCCCTCCTCAGAGCAATACGAGTGCAACCAGGCTTGCTCCCACTCAATGGTATCTTCTTTTTTATCGTCAAACAAACGGAAAAACACTTACGCATATTGGACACTGTGAAAGCACAGAAAGGGCTACAGCATTCTGAGTTAAAATTTATCAGTTTTTACCTGAATCAATCCACCGGTGTCCTTGCCGGGCAACCCAGGGCCACTGTTCCCCACAGCGCTTCCAAGAAACGGTGCTACTAGCGAAAAGATGTCCTGGCACTGTAACATGATAAGCAAAGCTGATAACGTATTTCACTGAACAGCTAAGCAAGGAGAAGTTTTTGCTAAAAAGTTGTTTGTTTCCTTGTGTAAAACAAACGCATTTCTAAGTTTAGTTAAAGTACTGGAACTGAAATTAATTATCAATCTCCTGAAACAATAGTTCAGAAGTTGGTGGCACTGAAATAACCAAGAAGCTTAAAATTTAGCTGGACATGAAACGGCAAAATGTGTTCTCGATACGCTCAGAGCTGCCTGGGTTTATAGCGCACTGTGTTTCGACACTACCTGGTTCGTACTGGTCCGAGACCAGGGTGTCTTCCGAGCCGAAATTTTGTGGGAACAGAGTACTGCAGTTGGTAACAGATGATGCAAAAGTGCATTTACAGTAGCAGCAATACTTTTCCACTGTCCATACCAGAGGAAACGAATGTGCTGGTGGGAATGAATCTGAGTGGGCAGTGCTTTGGCCTCTCACAAGAGCACACTGTAAAAATGTCGTTTAGAGGACACAACGATCGTAATCAGTATGCAAATTTATGCATTTCGTGCATGAGTTTTGTTCAAAACCCATTTAACACAGGCTCCGTTTCACTGCTACGTAGTATCTTCTGGCCTATTTTACAATTAAAAGGAATTCATTGTTCCTACCTCGGCAGTTTCCCAATACACATGGAAACACTGTGACTTTTTTTTTGCTTGAAATTAGAGGTACATTTTTGAAAAGTTGCTTGTCAGCAGTCGGATTCTAACCAGCGACCCAACGACCACTGCACAGTTATCTCTGCTTTACCAACTGCTGCGAGCTGTGCCGACCTCATTTACTTATTGCCCAGGAATCGCATGGAAAGTTCATCGCGAAATGCAGCTGTGTAGAAGAAGCCAAGGCCTTTCGCCAGCTACGAGGTGCACAGTGATGAAACACAGCTACTGATCAGTGGCGATTAACAGTCCCCTCAAGCTAGAGTGGTCTCCTTGCCAAACCGCAACGGCCTTTGTCTTAGCTAGGTTGGGGAACGAAATTCCCTCGATACGAATGTGAGCTGTATGCAATATCAGCAAATGCGATTGAGTATTTTTGTTGCGTTCCAACAAGCATGCGCTGCGAATGCAGCAAATCTAAGTGTGCCTGAAGAAGTTCTTTCCTGTATTTGCGCGAAAAAAGTCTTGTCGCGTCAGCGTTATGGCTAATTCTCAAAATTTTTTAGTCCCAACAACTGCCTGGAATTTTTTTGGCTGAACAGTCGCTGACAAGTCTGGTCAGTGATGCCAAGCAGAAGCCGTTGCCCATGCGCATTTTTGCCATCGGATAATTGCTCGACCGGTTTCGGAGTAGTCCTTGCACTGATTACACTCTGTCTCCTTTTACCCTCCCTACTCCAATTACTTCTTCTCTCCAATTATGTTGTTTGGTCACTTTATTTCCAGATGAGCCTCTTATCTGTTGAACAATCCCATGGAGCATAAAAAGAAAACGTATGTGCTTCTTCAGTGCGCTTACTTTTGACTACTGCAAGCTGAAAACTTTCCGGATTTTTCCCCTAAACTGCACAGAACAAGCACTCGAAAACCAAGTTCTGAATGGCAGCGCGCAATTTATTTAAAATAACTTATTCTCTCAAAAAAATATATCGTGGCAAAAGACATTTTGACTCAAATAATGAACTACTATTTGGCCTAAAAACTCTATCAATAACTTACTTTCACAGCATGGTAAAGCAAGCAGATGATTAGAGATAGATTAGCTTCTCGCATCGGGCATGTGCCACAGAGGACTCACTCATTCGAGCAAGGATTTCGCTTTCATCTGCTGTGCTCTACAAACTTGGGTCGAATTCGGAACGCACGAACAAACTTCTCGTTCTGCTTCCTTAATAATTATGGTTAACAATGACTTTTGAACATTCAAGAAACAGAGTTTCGGGCAATCGCTTCAGTCTTTTTTTGTTGGTTATGTATTAAAAGGGTTTTCAAAAAACACAGTAGTAATATTTAATTGTAAGTGACTTTCTGGGAAGAAAACCTCGACAGACCTGTCAGCAGGTGGTTAGTGTTAGCATGTGCTGCCACTCTTCTGAGTGCTCTCAGCTTTCACGGCGAGTGAATATATGGAGCGGAGTACCGACTGTAATAATCAAATCGAATGATGTAAAAAGCCACCAGAAAACGATTATTATTTGTAATAAAAGCGTTGCTGCTAATCATAGAAGCATGAAAGCAGAAGCAAAAGGATGATGATGGTAGTGATTATGCCTGTTATTGCAGTGACTGAATGGTACAACTAGAGAGGTGGATACTAACTTTCCTAGACAGCCAACAGACGGACAAAATGAGCTACTTGAAACAGACGTCAAATGCACAAAATCGAGGAGCACTGCTTCGTCTCGTGCAGCTTGCTTGCTAGTAAGTAGTTATTGGAGAGAAAAGCAGAAGCATTTTCTTTTTTTTTGTTTGTCGGTTAGTAATAATTCTTTCGGAAACTTTATAAATGAGAGTAATCAGATTGAGTTCAGTCCTTCTTTGGCACGCTAACGTAACAAGACGGACTCAAATAGTCTTTCGCTTCCAGCGATTTTTCAAGCGTTTTTGCGTTTCCGAATCGGGAACGGGATGCTTGGGGCAAGTAGTCAAGGGTCAAGTACCTCCTGCATAGCGTTTTTTCGTAACATCAAGTAATTTTCTCAAGAGCACAGGTAGGAACACAACGAAGATAACAGTGGACATAGTGTTTCAAGTTGACCGATCGGAAATATACGTCTCTCCAACAATTACACACTCGCCGGGCACAGCTGTTCCAGATTTTTCTGCCTTCGACCACCTGTCATACCTGCCTAGACGGCGTGGACCGGTTGGTGAAGTACTTTTATCCACAGCCTTAAAAAGTAGTAAGAAAATGCGAATTCGGAGGGAAGAACCGAAGAACTGAGAAATAAACTGGACGAAATGCAGGGTGCGGGAAAGTAACTATGAAGATTATGCGGAAATGCTTGAAGCACGGAAGGGGAGGGGGGAGGGACGGTCAAAATGGTGATTCTGGCGTTGATGCTGATGCTGTTGTTGCAATGTGAAATGATGCGCAACCATGAACGGACAGCTGAATCCAGTTTACGAGTGGTCATCGCAGTCTTTATTGCACCAGGAACACCGACTTGTGTGGTACTTTTTGCTGCTGCTTGCTTTCGTCAGCCAGGCATGACCAGTCTCGCGCAGCAACACAAAATAGTGGTAGTGGCAGCCGCAACAGTGGCAGCAGCATAAGCACTCGATGTCGTCAGGCATAAGCTTTTTCCTTTACTCGGAAAAAGAAAAACGAATTTAGTGCTTTTCGAGCCAGGCCAGAAGCTGCACCTCGGCAATGCGCCTATTTGTTGCCAAGCACTTTTCGGCCTATCAGAAATTCCCAGCAGCTTTATCAATTATCAAGAGCAGTCATCTTCTCAGATTACGTTCAGGTCACTGTTCGAAAACGAATGAAGAAGGCAAAGCATTCAAAAATGATTTTGGTTACATAACTGAAGAACGGCCATTCTGGAAAGATCAGACTTAAAATGAGGCGTTTTGCGAGTCACATGGTCTATGGTCCACTTGAATGAACTGTTTTTTTTTTTTTCCTACTGCGAAAGGCGGTTGTAAAAGAAAGACAGGGGAGCTTGATGAGTGGGTCTGATTGAGTGGAACCAGAATCGCCGCCGGCTATTCGCTGTAAGCCGAAGAAGCATCCGTTGTCAGTGCCTTGATGGATGAATGGATGTCCTGCACTACTGATAAAATGGTTGGAATGACGCTGGATTCCTCTTTATCCGTAGCAGAATTTGTTTGTGGTAGTCTACGAATTCGATTCTGTCAAGAGAA